AGTCTCCGACCTCGAATTCTTTAAACCTTTTCTTTTGATCAGCAATTAATTTGTAATTGGCGTTGCTTTGTTCAATTTTCATTTTAATTTCTTTATGCAATTCCTGTATGTGGGATGCAAATGCAGATGCTGACTCTGACACTCTAAACCTAGGACTCATGGGAAGCAAGTCTATGGGTTGTCGGGGTAGGTATCCATACACGATTTCAGCGTTCTATTGACGGAGTTGTTGTAAGAAAATTCAGCAATAGGAAGCTTGGAATCCCAATCTCGTATATTCTCCCCTACCAAAGTCCTTAGAAGATTTCCTAAACTCCTATTAACCACTTCCGTTTGTCCATCGGTTTGGGGGTGGAAGGCTGTGGAAAACTGGAGTTTTGTGCCCATTTTGTGCCATAAGGTTTTCCAAAAGTAGCTAGTAAAATTGACATCCCTATCGGAAACGATGGTTTTGGGTAATCCATGTAGTCTAACAATCTCATCAAAATAGAGTTTAGCAATGCGGGAGGCGTCAAAAGTCTTAGTGCAAGGGAGGAAATGGGCCATCTTAGAAAAACGGTCAACAACTACACAAATCGAATCATGCTTTCTTACAGTCTTTGGTAAACCAAGAACAAAATCCATACTCACATCCTTCCATGGACAATTAGGTACGGGTAGGGGGGTGTAGTCTCGTATTATGTTTGGGTTGCTTAGCGAGTTGGTAGGTGTGGCATCTCCTAAGAAGTCGACTAACGTCATGCTTTAAACTAGGCCAAAAGAATCGATTTTCTAAAGCAGCTATGGTCTTGGCTTGACCAAAGTGACCTGCTAACCCTCCTGCATGTAATTCCCAAACAAGGAATTCTCGTAGTGACGTTTTGGGAATATAGAGTTTTTGTGATTTAAATAAATATTCATCTTCCAACACGAAATCTCCAATAACTCGTTCATCACCAGTGGTAAGTGCAGAATAGGTTTCTCTAAAATCGGGGCATTCTGGGTAGTCTTCTTTGAGTCGTTCGAAACCTATTACTTCAGTAGTCATCTCCCTAGTAATCATCATTCGACGGCTTAAGGCATCAGCAGCCTTATTTTCAGATCCTGCTTTGTGTCTAATGGTATACGTGTATTCTTGCAGGAATTCAACCAAACGGCCATGCCGAGCATTGAGTTTCTTTTGAGAATTAATGTACCGCAAAGCCTCATGATCCGAAAAGATAACAAATTCTTGTGGTAGAAGGTAGTGACGCCAATACCTAAGGGATTGAATGATGGCGTAAAATTCCTTGTCGTAGGTGGAGTACCGTTGTCTAATGTCATCCAGTTTCTCACTAAAGTAAGCGACTGGGTGTCCTTCTTGCGACAGGACTCCACCTATACCAATTCCCGACGCATCACAAGTCACCTCAAAAACTTTAGAAAAATCAGGTAATCTTATTACAGGGGCTTCCATCATTCGCTTCTTAATCTCCTCGAAAGCTCTAGTTGCAGCCATGGTCCAAAGAAACTCTCCTTTCTTTAGGCAGTCTGTTATTGGCGCTACTATGGTGCTAAAATTTCGAATAAACCTCCGATAAAATGTGGTCAATCCGTGGAAACTCCTAACATCTCTAATATTCTTGGGTTTTGGCCACTCATTTATAGCTCGCACCTTTTCGGGGTCAGCAGATATGCCCTGGGAAGATATGATAAATCCAAGGAATGTCACTTGATTTGTGAGGAAAGAGCACTTCTTGGGATTGGCATACATCTGTTACCTTTTTAAAATCTCACAAACTTGTCTTAGATGGTTCAAATGTTGTTCCACTGAATGACTGTAGATTAAAATATCATCAAAGTATACTACAACAAACTTTCCAAGGAAAGGCCTAAGGATATGAGTCATCATTCTCATGAAAGTACTTGGGGCGTTGCTTAATCCAAAAGGCATTACATTCCACTCGTATAACCTATCTTTAGTTTTAAATGCCGTCTTCCACTCGTCCCCGGGGCGGATTCTAATTTGGTGATAGCCGTTCTTAAGATCGATCTTAAAAAACAGCGTGGCTCCGGTCATCATGTCCAACATGTCATCTAACCGAGGGATTGGGAAGCGGTACTTGACGGTGATTTTGTTGATAGCACGGCTATCAACGCACATTCTCTACGTCCCATCCTTCTTAGGGGTAAGAAGGGCAGGAACTGCACACGGGCTAAGACTCTCCTTAATGAACCCTCGTTGTAACAACTCATCCACTTGTCTCTTGAGCTCCTCATGTTCAGTTGGGTTCATTCGATAATGGGGTAGGTTTGGTAAGGACGCTCCAGGCACTAGGTCTATGGCATGTTGAATGTCCCGTAGAGGTGGCAGTTGGTTGGGCAAATCTTCAGGAAAGACGTCAGAAAAAGTCTCCAACAGTGGTTTTACTTCCTCAGGGATTGGCTCTTCTTGATCTACACTTACTTCCTGGGCTACTAGCGCGTAAAGAGGGGCTCCCGACTCCAGTTCCATACCTAGGTCCTTAGCAGTTATCAAGTTCATGCCCGTGTTGGGTTTCAGAGAGTTGGGCTTAACTTCTTCCTTGGTAGACTTAGATTGAGTGGGTAACAGCTTAATCTTCTTGCCCTCGTATTCAAACACACAGGTGTTTGATCGGCCATAAATGTGTACATCATTGTCGAACAACCAAGGGCGGCCAAGGATGATTTGACCCACATCCATCGTCAAAATATCGCACCAGATTTTCTCTTTGTATCCAACGAACTCAATAGGAACAAGACTCCTATCTTTTACCTCAAAGGTGGTTGAGTTGATCCAAGCAACTTTGTAGGGGTTCGGGTGTGGCGTGGTCCTCAATTGAAGCTTCGAGATCATAGTAGAAGATACAGCGTTAATGCAACTTCCACTGTCAATTATGACCTTACAATTTTTGTCTCCTATTTTAGTGAAAGTGTAGAAGATCGAGATTCTTTGCCAGTCGTCGCTAGGTTTAGGTTGGGAAAAGGCACACCTAACAATTTGCAGATCCAAGCGGTTCATTTTTTGGAGGCAGTGAACAACAGCAGTATCCTCCTCGTCGAAAAATTCCTCATCGTCGTCCATATGGTGGACCAAGTTAGTTTCAGGTTCATCCGCTTCCTCCGTCACTTCCTCAATTATTGTGACCTTAAACGGGCTGGAGCACTGAGAAGCAATGTGTCCGTACCTATGGCATCTAAAACACTTAGTGCTGGCAGTGGGTTTGGGTGTCTCCCGTTCAGGTGTTTTCCCTTTATTGTCTGATCGAGGTTGGGCTTGGCTAGGGGAAGGCCGACTACCCGAGGGTCCAGTGGGTTTGTTGTAAGGTTGGCTAGAAAAAGACTTGAAGGGGCTGGGTCTAGAGTCTTGAGTCCTAGTGGCGTGGCTCCTAGACTCTTCCAAGTCTAGCACAAGACTACAGGCAGCTTCATACGTACTTACTCCTCTAGCAAAGAGTTCATTCCTAAGATCTTCCCTCAATCCAGCTCTGAACATTGACAGGAGTTGTGTAGGAGTGGTGGTCTCTTCCCCGTTAGAACGAATCAAGAAATAATCAATGGTTGATATGTATTCCTTAACAGTTTTACTTCTTTGAGTTAACCTATTCCAACGATCTAGCAGTCTAGGGTAGTATGAGGGGGGAAAATATTTCCGTTTCAACTCTTGTTTCATTATTCCCCAATCAGCGATAGGGTATTCTCCTCGAGTCTCCCTCATGTGTTCGATGTTCGTCTAGTACTGGTTGGCTCTACCAGTCAACTTCATCTCAGCAAATCTAACTTTCTTCTCTTCCGAAATGTTATACCATTTGAAGTAACTGTCTCATTAGTATATAAAAAATTTGATCATTTTATGTTTACGCAATCTTTTGATTTTGAGGCTTACGCCTCAAAACGCCTTGAGGCTTACAGCCTCGCCTTACGAATGAAAAACGCCTCAATACCCGAATACGCAATTTTAAACACTGCCTAGCGGTTCTTGATGGGGTCGGTGAGTGGGTCGGTAGTAGTCTCTAGGAGGTCCGTATTCAGTTCGGGCATCTTCGCCATAAGCTGATTGGGGTCTAGATGGGGCATAGATGGTCGAGTGTCCTGCCCTTTCGATGTTGTCTAGTCTTTCCCCCGTATGACGTTTGAGCTCCGCTACACTCGTTTGGGTGTCCCTAATTTGTTGTGACATTGAACCCAACTGACTCACAATCATGTCCAAGGTGGCTTGCATATGAGTGGGATCCATGGTTGGATGATTGGGGTGACTAGTGAGACTTTCTAAGTCCAGGGCAGCAGCTAAACCTACTGTAAAACTTGCTGAAAATGTAACTACAGCAGCTGGAAAGTCTAGGGCAGCAAGCACAGAAAAGGGAAAAGTTACCCAAGTGTTTTGGTAAGGTTCCGGGGTCTTGCCAACACCTAAACAATGACTCTAGGCTCGCTAACGGATGCTTAACAGTTGCAGGAAATAGTAGACAGCAAATTAACACTATCTAGAACTCACTCTAGGGGCTAAATTAAGTGCAAAAAATAGAGGACAGCAAAAGTCTAAGTGGCCTAGACTATTATGAAAGTGAATGTAAAGATGGCTGCACTTAAACACTTAAATATGAACATGTAACATGAAAATTCTACTGCAGGAATATCAGGACAATAAAAGAAAACAACAAATAAAACTAATTTAGATGATGCTATGCATGCAACAACTAAAGACAAGCTAAAGGAGACTCCTAGGATGCATCTAGCATGATCAAAGCATGCTAGCCATGCTCTGATACCAAATGATGTGAATCAATGTAGGAATTGCTTTTGGAAAATAGCATGAAAATTATTCAAAGCGTTGTCAAAACAAATTTTATTACCAATAAAATAAAGGATTAAATCGTTCTAGGTAATTAACTTGCTTAGGCGAAGATTTGCTTTGAGATAATCAAACAATTCATAACACTCCCAAAAATAAAAGATCTACTTAAATGCTCATAACAAAAATCCCACAATTAATAATAAAGAAGTTCACCTTGAGTACCCTTTCTCTTCTCTCTCTCGTCAGTTCGGCTCTTAGGTTTTTTAGCGGAGAAGAGAAAAGAACCATGCGAGGATGAAGAGCACCACTAACGATGAAGGGGACGAAAGACTTTGGCTTGCAGAAAGGTGTTCACCGGAGAACGGTTCGGTGGCGGATGGCGTCAATAGAATCGTCCAAGCTGTAGCACGAAATTGTCGGTCGAAAATACTTGCGAGGATCGGGACTGACTCGCTCCAAATACTCTTCGATTTGTGGCGTTTCGTCTTCAAACTCCTACGTCGAATGCAAGGAGAGCGTAGGATATCGATGCTCCCGTCGGCGTGGAAAACTACCCCCACTCAAGCTCCGGATCCTCCATTCAACATTGAGGCAAGGCGGGAAGGGAACAAGGGAGGGGTTCGGCCAAGGGCCTTGAGGAGGGAGTAAGAGAAAAAATCTGAATTTTTGAATTTTTCAGAATTTCCTAGCTTTGAAAAGAGAGGTTATTTCCAACATTTAAATCTCCTTCAATCAATTAAAAGGGGCAAGCCTATTAAGGGGATAAATTAAGGGGGTATTAGTAGATGATGAGGTTTGCGCAAAGGAGAGAAAACGGCTAGGTGTGCAGGAGCCGGCCAATAGCAAGGGAAAAAGAGGAAGTTTTGGCTTTAATTAGTGGGCCCATGCATCAAATAGGAAATCTGATTTTAACTTTCAGATTTTATTTAATTAGGGAGATTGAAAATTTGAATTTTAAATGCGAAATGAGTTAATTCAATTAATATCATTCCCTAAAGAATGGGTTACTTTAGGAAAGAATAAATGATGAATAATTTTGGTGAGAATTCAAAATCCAGGAAAAGACTGGACGGCGGGATCTCCCCAGGGAAGAGGCGGACCGGCCTGCTGGCTGTGGCGAGCTGGCGTGGGCCAGCGGTGGCACAGCAGGCGGCAAGGGAGGCGGGTGCAGGGAGTTTTGCGGTATTGGCGGCAAGGGAGGAAGGGGTTAAGGCGGGTTCAAGCAGGGAAATCGGTGGTTCAGGAGGAATTTTCTTGGCAGGGTCGGCTGCAGAGAGAATATTAGAGAGAGAGGAGGGGGTGTCGAGGATTGAGTGGAATGGAGTGGCGCAGGAAGAGAAAACATATGAAACAAAACAATATAACCAAGAGCTCACCGTAGTGGGCTGTTGGTGTAATTCGGTGGGAGCTCTCTCCATAGCTCCTTTTTTCTCTCAAGCTCTCAAGCAAGAAAGAGACAAAGGCAAATCTCAGAATTTTATTAATCAAGCATTACCCTCATACAATAAGAGGAGATCCCTTTATAAAGATCTCAAAGCATGAAAAGAAGAAAAAAAAAGACTCACATGCCCATTTGGCTACAACAAACACTACGCCTTCATAAGGGCGAAATCGTCACTAGTACATGAAATAAAAGATACATGAAATAAAAGATACATAAAATAAAATAACATAAAAAATACATGACAACATCAAAAATATAAACTCCCGATCGTAGCCGTCGTTCTACGATTCCTTCGCCGATAAACATGCCTAAAATGTCTGTCGATGACCTCATCACTTGAACTCTTCCAAAAATTGACAGATATTGCAAGTCACCCTCCTTGGGCTTCTCCTCTCATGAACTCACTCAGAGATCAAACAAGAACAACTCTTTTTCATTCAATAATTCATCATCCATTATAATGCATGAGGCCTCCTTTAAATAGGCCAAGATAGAATAAAACTAAAATGACACAAATGGCTCTCAGGGCTAATTAAGTGACTCAATGCCCACAGGTACAAACTAGAAAAAAAAAAACAAGCATAAATAAAATACAAGTAAATCAGAAATAAAGGCTCTGGATTGTAGCCGTCGATCTGCGTCTCCGGCGATGGTACACGTGTCGAAATCTGATGTCCTCATCATTTAGTATTTCTCATTTTTTGGGATACCCAAACCCAGTTTCCTTTTTCTTGTTTCTGTATTATTAGTTTACTTTGCTAGTTTTTTTTTAATCTTCTAATGTTGATGAATCAATTTATTTTTAGAATATATTCTATTTGTAGAGATTTGAAAAAGAACTATCTTGTTGAAAGGTTATGTGTCTATGTGTTGATGTATCTATGTAGTTTGTATGTATTATCCTAATCTATTATCATGTTTTCATTTGAATCATTATAGTCTCATGATATCAAATGTTGTATTTCTTATTGTCTTTTTGGATTAAGCTGAAACTTTGCATACAACTCAACTTGTTTGAGTTACATATAGTAGACCGAAATCTTAATATTACAAAATTGCTTCCCAGTTCTTGTTATGTTGCAGCATTAACGCTCAATTACCAGTTTGTTCAAGCTAAATATGATTAGTGTAATCTTTTTATTAAACCGCAATCTTAGGCATCGTTTGGGACGGCTTTCTTACTACTTCTTAAAGTAGTTTTCTAGTAAAAAAATATATTTTTTTTTAATCTAAAAAACTGTTTTAAGAAGTAGTAAGAAAGCCGTCCCAAATGAACCCTTAGTAGTGTTCTTTGCTATTAAGGAAATACCTGTAGTTCTGTGCAATGGCAGCAAAGGCACTGGTACAAAATGCCTTGTATTCTTTGTACAAGGTATGAAAGATCTTGTGGCCTTGCGTAGCCCCCTTGAAAATCTCTGGTTTGTTGTGGAAGGAGACAGGGATTGAGGATGTAGGAATATAATGAGAGTTTCCAATATTTTTAACAAAAGGGTTTTTTTTAAAAGGTCATAATAAAAATTTTGGCATGTTTTTTAAATCGTTAGCAGCGTTGCCAAATATTTTGTATTTAATGCTATAAAGTGAAATTTTTTCATTTATTTTCTTTGTCTATAATTTGAAAAACTTGGATCATCTTTCCATTGATTGTTTTAATGACATGTTGCTGTGCTGTGCTTGATGCTTTCCATTGGGCTTCTACTACTAGCTAAATTTGTTGCTTTATATTGCTTTATTCACATGTGGTTTATTTATAGTAAGCCTTTTTCTCCTTATTGATAAGATAACTCTTACAATCCTTTATCACTTTATGAGGAAATAATGCGACTTTTAGCACCAAGGAGATCTAATTAATCTTGCATATCATCAAAGCAGCTTTAGAAATATGGGCCATTTCTGTTCACGTTACATACGCTAGTATGCAGATATGTGGTTACAATATATGTATATATATTGCTCCCTACCCGAATTTATGCAATGCTTACAGTTCTTTCGTTGAAACTGCTCTTGAGTTGCACCTTCCAGATATTTGTAGAAGACCATCCTGACTAGTTTTTCCATGGCTCTTTAGAGTTTGCTTGTTTTCTGCTCAAACTTACCTTTCTAATATCTAAAACTGGTTTTACAAACAAGGACTCGGGTTATTTACAAGTAATAATTTTCATTTTTTAAACTCTTGAAGCTTCCTTGCAGAAGTTTTCAATTGTCATTGCGATCTTGTTAAGTCTCTAATTTTATTTTGGATTCTTTGCAATTTTTTTTTATAAAACTTTAATGTTTGATATTATGATGTGCTGTGGTAGCTATTGAATTTTTATATGCGATTGAGAAGAGTGTTATTTTGCAAGGTTTTTGGAAGTTGCTGAGCTATTGAATGTCTGTTGGTTGGAGATCCAAGGCAAGATTAACTGTAGGATGCTTTTCAAACGGACCAACTATTCAGCTTATCTTATATTCAAATTATCAAATAGTGCAAGTGGCTTCAGGTTTCCTTTGCAGGAGGTGTCGGTCGCCATAGGAGCCCATGTCTCAAAGTTCTCGGTTCGCTTGATGGAAGAACAAGAATTTTCCAGGCTTCGGCCAATTTTGCGTCGGCCTAGAATTATGTTGAATATCTTACATCATGCGAATTTACCACAAGAGCCCCAAGAAGATTTACGGGAGCCTCTGAATGATCCACCAGTCGAGCACCAGATGTGCCCGACGATGCCGATGAACCTCAGCATGATCAATTGCCATACCCAAATGAACAAGCACGGAGGGATCGTGGAATGGTTCTAAAACCTCAAACAAGGCAGGATGGGTGGATGGAAATTTTGCTGGGGGAGTTCTATAATGAAGAAGGGGATGATGGGGATGTTGCTATGTCATTTTTGGCCAAAGGTGGGAACTGGAAGAATGGCCTCATTGTGCAGGGAATCGAGATTAGGCCTAAGAAGTAAGAAATCACATCATGGGAAGCTAGATACTCTTTGCATTATCGTTCATGTTTGGTATTTCAGTTGTACAGAATTCTAATAATTTTGAATTGTGCTTTTGATTGTTTTCATGAGATCAGCTTCGCTTTGTTTCTAATTGTTCTGCATAACATTATATATTTACTTAGTAGTGTAACAAAATTATAATATCCAGAAAGTTTTGTTAAATTGGTCCATTATGTGATTGTTGAATTCACAGATGTTTGGGAGATGGGAACAGTTCAATCCCAGTCTCTGACTTCCAAGATTAGTATCTTGATTGCTAAATTTCTTATTCAACCTCTCCTAATAAAGCTTTTCTATTTCTTCCTGGTTCGTTGGTGTTTAATTTGATCCACATTTTATTCACTACCAATTTGTATTATTTATTTATTTAACCTTACTTGATTATGGAAATTAAGTGTCTATTGTTTTCTTTTGAATTAGCAAAGCGAGGAGGATAAATTGAGGCAGTTTTAGAGCGAGTGAAAATAGCTTCCTCCTAAATTAGAGTATTTTGAAGTCTCTAATTCGAATGTCATCACTTTTGGAATTAGTGGCAGAGCCAGAATTTTTTATTATGATATATTAAAGTTTTAAAAAATAAAATTATTATTCAGACTTTTTTGAGATTATGTATTTACTTTCATTTTCTAAAACATTTATTTTTTTAATGAAATATATGATCAAAATTAACATAGACAAAGTGAAAGAATCTCATAGTTACCATGTACTAAGATTTGCTATATATTTTATATTTTATTTTTTATAGATTGATATGTGACGCCGTGGATATTGCTTGGTTTATCCTCATGGATTCAACATAGCGTGCTTTATTGACAGCGTACCTTAATGGTACAGTAGTTTCATGCAAGCCGTAAATCTCAATGACATATGCCAGAGAGTTTGAATCGAGTTTTATTGACAGTTGGCCTCAACGGTACAGTAATTTCTTTATCAACTTTTATGGGTGGTTCTTCTAAAGATCTTGTAATTTTTTAATCAATGGAATGGTTCAAAAAGCCCGAAACAATTGGTAATATAAGATTCAATAAGAAGCATTATCGGTCTATCATCCATGAATATGGTGTTTTGCTGAATTTCTCCAGAGTGGAATAAATTTGTCTATCGTTGTGTACAAAAGGTGTTCAATTCTGTGGAGACTATCTAATCAATGCAAGCAATGTAAGCCATTATACTCATCAATTTCTTTGATTTTAGAATTTCTTTGTATTGTGAGCATATTTGACTGTTGATGTGGTTTCTCATTGACATTGTTGGATACATCAATACAAAGAATATTGCATATATAAATGCCAAGAGGCTTAGAATTTTTATAATAAAGGCTGGTTCATACGAGCTTAGAATTTTTATAATAAAGGCTGGTTCATACGAGAATATAATTTTTGTAAAAAGATACACGCTCAGACATTTAATTGGACACTTACAAAACATAGATAATTGAAGCATTTCAAACTTTTGTTTCAGTTGTATGATACTTTATGGATAATTCTGCTAGATTGCAGAAGAAGTTGTGGATATTCTTGTAAGAGAGAGAGAGATAAAGATGAAAATGATGGAATTAATTCTCGTAGAAGAAGTTACGGAGATTCTTGCAAGAGAGATAAAGATGAAAACGACGGAAAAGATTGATAGTGTTACTAAGGTATTGAATGATGGTTATACATGAGTATATTATTTCCTTATTATAATTATGACCCATTGATTCATACAGGAGTTCACTATCATGCAAGAGAAATTCAATTGCAGAATTGGAGCTTCAGAACATATATCAGACTCCTCAAAATATGATGACTCAATCTCGGCTCAGAAATTCCATTGTTATTCAGGATATAATCTAAGAGGAATGAAATTTTCTTTTATCTTTTTTTTTCCTTGTAGAACATAATGGGAGAGGCTCAAGTATGAACCCACTGGAAAATAAATAAAATTAGTGTACAAAATTAATGGGTGAAAAATGAGTACATTATTCCAAAATATTTTATGCAAATAGGAATGAAAAAAATAAATTTAGTAGTGAAAAAAAAGCTTCTAAAAAAGGTAGGATAAAGCTATTGATTAAAAAGACAATGATGATATGAAATCGGTTTGTTGATTTAGTATAGGATGAATTTCTTTGGGTTGTTGCTTAGCTTTTTTAGGCCATAGACGATCAAGAATATTTCAAATATGTGTGATTTTTAGATTGAATCGATGACAACTTAAATTAAATTTGTTTAGTCATGATAGTTTTATTTTATTATTATATTTTTTTAATTTTGCACAATACATTTTTATTATAAATAAATTGAGTTTTTTTAATATTTATTTAAAAAATTTAAATAAAATGATATTATTTATAAAAAATTTTATATATTTTTATTCACATACATTTTGTGCACATACAGATAAATATTAATAATTATAATATTTACATTAATAAATTTAAAAATATTTTTGTATTTTAATAATGATTTATATAATTTAAAATATTTATAATATTAATTTTATTATGTGAATTTAATACAAGTATAATAAAATTAATAAATTTAAATTTCAAAAAGAAAGTATTTCTACTCGTAGGTCGGTTGCGGTTATATCCGTACCATTCCAGAATCCGCGGCAAGAAGGCCCTGAGGGGCTGTTTGGCAAGAAGTGGGATTTAACTTTAGTGGGATTTAATAAATCCTGTAAATCTGATATGTGTTAAATCCTGAAAACTGTTTGGTATGCCAAATATTAAATCCTGTTAAATTTTGAGAAAACTATTTGGTAACATTTTTTCATATTATAGTAGTTAGGATTTAAATGTGAAGAAGATAATTATAACGTAAAAAATAAATTTATAATTAAAAATAAAAAAATTAATGTGTTATAATTTAATAATAAGTTAAGTACAAATTACTCATTAATTATTATTTACACAATTAATTATATATTTAAAATAGATATATTAAGTTATATTAATTAATCTAATTATATTAATATTTTAATTACTAATTATAACAATTAAGTTAAATTAGATAATTAATTGATGCACTAATTATTTCAATTAATTATTAACTAATTAGCTTAATTTATTAATAATTTTAAATTATATTTAATTAAGTTAATCAAATAATAATTTTTTTAGAGGCGTCTTTTTTTTGAAGTATAATTAGTTACGACATTTGATCAGAAGCAAGAACAGGAGCTCGCTGGCGGCTGTGAAGGTAATCTTTCTCCCTTTCGCGCTTATTTAATAAATCCCGTTAAATCCGAGTAACCTGGGATTTACTAAATCCGGATTTAAAGCATAAATACTTAAATCCGGGATTTACCGAATCCAGATTTTACGCTGGATTTAGCGTAAATCCGACTTAAATCCCGCTGTAAATCCGATACCAAACAGCCCTCTCCTTCTTGAAAAGCGAAGGAGAGAGAGAGAGAGAGAGAGAGAGAGGAGGGAGGTGGAGGAAGTTGCGCACTCTGCAGCGATATCAAAGGCTTCCGGAAGAGTGCGTGGCGCATGCGATATCGCTAACGTCTCCTCGAGATGCTTGCCGATCGGAGGCGGTATCGGCGGCATTTCAGTCGGCAGCGAGCTCTGACAAAGTGTGGAAGAGTTTCCTTCCGTCCGATTACGCTGAGATGCTCGCACGAGCCGTCGATCGGGTGAAATTCGGATCGATGAAGCATCTCTACTTCCGCCTCTGCGATCCAATCCTCATCGACGGCGGAAGGATGGTTTGTTCTGTCGTTTTTTTTTAATTTATGTGATTGTGTTTCTATTAAGCCGAGCTGATTCTCTTTGTTGGCAGGGATTCTTTATGGATAGAGATACCGGGGTTAAGTGCTTCATCTTGCCGGCGAGGGAGCTTAGGATTGTCTGGGCACAGGGAGATACTCCACAATATTGGAGTGGATTCATCACCCTGAATCAAGGCAATGTGAGCTTGTTCTGAATTTTTTCTTCTGCCTCTTTTATTTGATTATGATATTTATATGAAATTCTTTTGTTATCGATGAAGTTATGGATAAAATTTAATTTGTTTTCTGTAGTGGCGTAGAGAATTCATAAATTGACTCCTCCCGTCCCAACTCTTTTTTTTTTAGACAAATTTTCTATGTTGGTAATAGTTTGTCTATTTTTTTTCGGCTTATAGTTACGTTTTGGCTTTTAAATTTGTCTATTTTGAGTTTTGTTTGCCTTGATATGTTTTTATGAAAGTCTTGGTGGGGTATGTGGAAGAATGATGTGTTTTTCTGTGAGGAAGGCTTCTCCAATCTCCACTCTTGTCTTGAGCTTAGAAGCAACATTTTGACTATTCTATAGAAATGTAGGAGTTGATGAAAGTCATTTCTTTTAAGTTCGGGGCCACGGTTGGGAAACCACATCCCCTCTACGACCTCGCTTCTTCAGTGGGACAAAGTAGGTGTGGGCCCAATGCCGGTGGGTGGCCTGGCTAGGTTCATCGAGGGATTAGTTATGCCGCCAAACGCTCCTTTTGAAGTGGCAGCGGGTAGATACCCCAGTTCCCCACAAAAAAAAATATTTTATGCTGGTGGTTTAAATAGTGCCTAACTTGATGTAACTTCAAAGGATTAATTTTAAGACATATTTTCGTTGCTTCTCGGACTCTGTTTTTGTTAATTCCTGGAGCACAGTTAGTCATGTTATCACACAATCTGAAACTTTAATTATGTTTCTTTCTCCTCTAACTTGCCATTTGTAGTGCACTCTTAGCCCCTTCTACGGCTTTGAACTTTTGCCCTGAAAATGCATATGTTTATAAGTTTATTCTTAGTTAATAGCAAAACATGCTCCTAAATCTCAAATGCATTTAGTGTTTCTCATTTTTTGGGATACCCAAAAAAATACCCAGTTTCCTTTTCTTGAAATTGTATTCTTAGTTTACTTTGCTAGCCTTTTTTTATCTTTTTTTTTTAATCATCTAATGTTGATGAATCAATTTATTTTGCTTAATCAAATTGATATTTCAATTAATTTTAGAATATATTCTATTTTTTGAGATTTTGAAAAAGAACTGGCTTTTTGAAAGGTTGTATGTGTCTAAGTGTTGACGTATCTATGTAGTTTGTATGTATTATCCTTATCTATTATCATGTTACACTTCGATCCTTATCTATTATCATGCTACGTTTGTAGCTTCGATCCGCGCTGCACCTGCACTTGTGTGTCGCACATTGCGACTTGGCTCCCCACCTCCAAACCAAGCACTTCTCGAAACAAGTCCAACGGTCGCACTCGTCTACGCCCGCACCTGGCCCAATCGTGATCGATTCTACATCTGAATTTTCCATGCCCGCGACTCTCGCCTTTGAATTCCATAGCCTAGCCTCTCTTTCTTGGACAAGAAACCTTCGTCCACCTCGATATCGACTCCACCTTGCTCTGATACTAATTTGTTGTGTCATTTCTTGGAGGAGGAAGATGTATCTTGAACTTCTTGGGAGTGAAAGAGACAGGGAAGGAAGAGAGAACATACTTTAGGGGGAAAACTATCTAAAGCTTTATTTCATTTTCTACAAATTATACCTCAACCTATAACATCTATGTATAGGTATTTAGATAGGTGAGATGTCTTGCGTAACGACTTCACCTAAATCAGGACCAATCCTAACGATATTCTGTTTTGAGAGATTTTGAAAAAGAATTGTCTTGTTGAAAGGTTATACGTGTCTAATTTGTATGTATTATCCTAATCTATTATCATGTTACACTTGAATCATTATAGTCTCATGATATCTAAAGTTGTATTTCTTATTATCTTTTTGGATAAGCTGAAGCTTTGCATACAACTCAACTAGCTTGAGTTACATGTAGTAGACCCTGATCTTATATTACAAAATTGCTTCCTAGTTCTTGTTATATTGTAGCATTACAGGTCAATCACCAGTTTGTTCAAGCTAAATATGATCGGTATAATCTTTTTATATATACCTCACGTTGAACCCCAATCGTAGTAGTATTCCCTTCTAGTAACGCAATACATGTCGTTATGTGCAATGGCAGCAAAGGCACTGGCACAAAATGCCTTGTTTTCTTTTTACAAAGTATGAAAGACCTCATGGCCTTGTATAGCACCATTGAAAATTATTGGTTTGTTGTGGATGGAAAACGTGATTGAGGATGTAAGCAAGTGGATGAAGTTAAAAGTAAATGGAATATATTGAGAGTTTCCAATATTTTTAGCTTAAGGAGGTGTTTTTAGAAGGCCAACAACAACATCAATAACATCAAACCTTTGCCCCACTATTTGGGGTCGGCTACATGAATCTTTTTTCATCATTTTGTCCTGTTAAAAATCAAATTCTCATTTAAATCTAATAAAGAAATATCATTTCTAATATTTTTTTAACCAAGTCTTTTTAGGTCTACCTCTATTTTTCTTAAAATAAGTCAAATTTAATATCTCAACTTTTTTAACCGGGTAATCGGAAGGCCTCTGTTTAATGTGACCAAACCATCTATGGCGACTCTCTCTAATCTTATCTTCCACTAGAGCTACTCCAAGTCCTTGATGAGAAAAGTGGAGGGTTGCGCGTCAGGTAGTTGACAATCAGCATAAAACTTGTCAAATAATCATGGCATGGAATCCTTTTAGAAGACCATGATACAAAATTTGGCACGTTCAACTTGTTTTTTTAAATCGTTAACAACATTAGAAAAAATTAGGTATTTGATGTGAATCTAGATGCGGATGCAAGAATTGTAATTTAAGAGATTAATAAAGCTTATGAACTTTGCGTACTACCCATTAAACTAGCTTCATCAAGTAGTGGTTTTAGAAAATAGCATGGAAGATAACACAATAGCAATAGATCACAACTGAGATTTACGAGCAATTGCAAAATTAATAACCAAAAATTTTGGTAATGCAAATAGCCAATTAAAACAAAGCCTCATAGTTAAAATCTAGATCATTCACCTTGAGATCCTTTAATCAACTCTTGAAAGTGGGGGCTAGCGGAAGAGGATCGTAAACACACTTAGATATACCACTATTACGCAAGTGATGCCGAGAGGACTAGTCGCAGGGGAAGAAACGGGAGTTGGGGAAGCGGGTGGCCAGCCAAGAAGAATCCACGGAGTTCTTGGTCGTTGAAGGTCGATGGTTCTGGCAAGGCAATAAACGATACGATTGACGTATCATTCTATTGTGATGTCGTACTCCCAATCCAGCTCGTAGAAGGGGAGAGAAAGATGTAGATCTCTCCTCGTTTGTTGTACTCAAAGCCGTGATCAACTTCCGGATTCGCCATGCATCCTCGCCGGGAGTTGAAGGAGCACCCAAAGGGGGAAGAGGGAAAGAGGAGGTGGCGGCTTGGAGGAGGGAGGGTTGGGTCGGCTTGGGTGCTTGAGGGGATCGACTAGAGAGAAGCACTCAGAAATAAAAAACAGAAAAATCTGAAATTATTTCAGGTTTTAGTGGGTGGGAGGGGATTAATTTGAAGATTTCAAATTAATTCCAATAGAGGATGAGGGTGCGGCAAAGGGGAATTAATGGGGCTGACTTGGTGGAGAATAAGAATTACTTTAGTAGAGAGAGAAGCCCAGTAAAGGGGCCCGGCCACATAGAGATAGGGAAGGGCACTATTGTCATAAGTAGAGTGGGGCCCACAACACTAATCAAGGATTTAATTAAAATCTGAATTAAATCTCAAATTTTATAAGATAAGAAAGTTTCCTAATAGATGAGCAATTTATTGGTAAAGGTTTGAATTTTAGATTTGAATTGAAATTCAATTAAGATGATTACCTAAAATCAAGGAGCTAATTTTGGAAACCTTTTATGGCTCTTGGAAAAATTTGAAATTTCAAATTTGAAATCTCAAGGAGGGATGTGAATTTGGGGAGGAGGAGAATTTCGGCTAGGTGGGGAAGAAAGATTTGAGTTCCGGGAGAGAGAAGTTGCCGAATCTACCAACCTTGCACAACACATCCAATAGAACTCATAAAGAGATCTACAAGCGCCTCCTCCTCAAGAACTTACAAAGAGAGCTTGGAGGGTTCATGAACTCACAAAGAGATCAAAAGAGAAATTCATTCAATAATTCATCAACTAATTATTACAATGCATGAGGCCTCATATAAGTAGGCCAAAATAAAATAAAAAAACTGAAATGACACAAATGCCCTCAGGGCTACATAAGCGACTCAATGCCCACATGGGAAAACTAGGAAACAAGAAATACAAGCATAAATAAAATGCAAATAAATCAGAAATCGAGGCTCTAGATCGTAGCCATCGATCTGAGTCTCCGGCGATGGTACACGTATTGAAATATGATGTCCTCATCATTCTCCCCAGGTGGAAGAAAGCTCGACCCGGTCGAGTGAGCATCTCTAGTAGTCTCGTACCATAAAGTGGAATTTCTTACTTTATTTTCCTTTTTTATAAATTGAAATACTTGAATCATCTTTCCATTGATTGTTTTAGTAATATGTTGCTGTGGTGTGCATGATGCTTTCTCTTGGGCCTCTACTACTAGCTTAATTTTTTGGTTCTAATTAATCTTGCATACCATCAAAACAGATTAATGGATCATTTGCAAATTTTATTTTGGACAGTTAGCACATCAAATTTTATTTTGGATTCTTTGCAATTTTTTTTAAAACTTTCATGTATTATGTTATGATATACTGCGTTGGTTACTGAATTTTTTATATGTGATTGAGAAGAGTGTTATTTTGCAAGGTTTTCGGAAGTTGCTGAGCTATTGGGTGTCTAGTGGTTGGACATAAAAGACAATATTAACTCTAGGATGCTCTCCAAATGGTTAAACTATTCAGCTTATCTTGCATTCAAACTATCAAATACTGCAAGGGGCTTAAGTCATCCTTTCTAGGAAGTTTCTGTCACTGTAGGAGCCCATGTTTCAGGGTTCTCGGTGTGCTTGATGGAAGAACAAGAATCTTCCAAGCTTGGGCCAAATTTTCCTAGGTGGATTAACCTCTTGCGCCGTGCGAATTTTCGACAAGAGCTTCAAGAAATTTTACAAGATCCTTTGAATGATCAAGCAGACGAAGCACCAAATCTGTTGGACAAGGCGGAGGAATCTCATGATCAAGCATAGAGGGATCGTGGAATGGTTGGAAAACCTCAAACAAGGCAGGATGGGTGGATGGAGATTTTGTTGGGGGAGTTCTTCAATGATGAAGGGGATGATGGGGATGTTACTATATCATTGTCGGAGATCAAAGAGGGGGGATTATAAGAGTGACCTCATTGTGCAGGGAATTGAGATTAGGCCTCCTAAGAAGTAAGGAGAACATCCTGGGAAGCTAGCTAAGTCTTTGCATATTTTTCTTTTATGTTTGATCTTTCTGCTGTATAGATAATTCTAATAATTTTGAATTGTGCTTTTGCTTGTTTCTGTGAGATTTTAATACAGAAGTTCCCTTTCACAGAAACAATCAAAAGTACAATTAAAATTATTAGAATTATCTGTACAGCAAAAAGACCAAACATAAAAGAAAATGCAAAGACTTATCTAGCTTACTAGAATGTTCTCCTTACTTCTTAGGATGCCTAATCTTGATTCCCTGCACAATGAGGTCACTCTTATAGTTTCGGCCTTTAATCTCCGAAAATGACATAGCAACATCCTCATTATCTCCTTCTTCATTGTAGAACTCGCCCAGCAAAATTTCCATCCACCCATCCTTCCTTGTTTGAGGTTTTTCAACAATTCCACGATCCTTATGTGCTTGATCCTGAGGTTCATCCGTCTCGTCCGGCACATTTGGTGCTTCGACTGCTTGATCATTCAAAGGATCTCGTAAAATTTCTAGAAGCTCTTGTGCAAAAATCACATGGCGCAATAGGTTAATCCGCCTAAGAAAATTTGGCCCAAGCCTGGAAGATTCTTGTTCTTCCATCAAGCACATCGAGAACCCTGAAACATGGGCTCCTATAGTGACAGAAACCTCCTAGAGAGGATGACTTAAGCCCCTTGCACTATTTGATAGTTTGAATATAAGATAAGCTGAATAGTTTGACCATTTGGAGAGTATCCTAGAGTTAATATTGCTTTCTATGTCCAACCACCAGACACCCAATAGTTCGACAACTTCCGAAAACCTTGCAGAATAACACTCTTCTCAATCACATATAAAAAATTCAATAACCACTACAGTATATCATAACATAATACATGAAAGTTTTAGAAAAAAATTTGTAAAGAACCCAAAATAAAATTTGATGTGCTAACTGTCCAAAATAAAACTTGCAAAGGATTCATTAATCTGCTTTGATGGTATGCAATATTAATTTGAACAAAAAAATTTAGCTAGTAGAGACCCAAGAGAAAGCATCATGCACAGCACATCAACCTGTTATTAAAACAATCAATGGAAAGATGATTCAAGTATTTTAATTTATAGACAAAGAAAATAAATGAAGAAATTCCACTTTAACATGAGGTATCTATAAAAAGGAACACTACTACGATTGGGGTTCAACATGAGGTATCTATAAAAAGATTATAGCTAGGGCTGTAAACGAACCGAGCCGAGCCGAGCCGAGTATGTGAGTGTTCATGTTTGTGTTCATTTAATATCATCTTGTTCAAGTTTGGTTCATGTTTGTTCGAGCTTTATTATTTGTGTTCATGTTTGGTTCATTTAAATTAATGAGTGTTCATGTTCGTCCGTTTAATGTTTATCGAGCTTGTTCGCGAACATATTTAACAAATTTTTTCTAACTATCAAAGAAATGCACTCATGAACATATTTATGAACAAACACATTTATTATAAAAGCAATTGTCTATGTAACAAGGCAATGATTATTTAAATTTATTAATTCTATAGTCAAATATTAATTATTTGTATCGAGCTTATTCACGTGTTCAAAATCGAACACGAATCTAGCTTTTATCGAGCTTCTTATCGAGCTTAATGTCGAGCTTGTTCACGAACTTCAAAAGATGTTGTTCGCAAACATAAATGAGCCGAACGCATTAGTGTTCAAGTTTGTTTATTTAAGAATCGAGTATTTAAAATATTGTTCAAGTTTGTTTGTTTAGTTAATGAAACGATCACAAACGAGCTTTAATCGAATCGAACAACGAGTAGCTCGTCGAACGTATGGTTCGCTTGCAGTCCTAATTATAGCAATCATATTTAGCTTGAACAAGCTGATGATTGATATTTCATTTGGGATGGCTTTTTATTTGTTTCTTAAAGCAAATTTTTAACATAAAAATTAAAATTTTTATACAAGAAGACTGCTTTAAAAAGCAACAAAAAAGTCGTCTCAAATGATGCCTTAGCCGTAATGCTGCAATATAAAAAGAACTGGGAAGCAACTTTGTAATATTAAGATTATGATCTACTACATGTAACTCAAGCTAGTTGAGTTGTATGTAGAGCTTCAGCTCATCCAAAATGATAATAAGAAATACAATTTTTTATATCATGAGACTATAATGATTTAAGTGTAACATGATAATAGATTAGGATAATACATACAAATTAGACCAGTATAACCTTTCAACAAGACAATTCTTTTTTAAAATCTCTCAAAATAGAATATCGTTAGGATTGGTTCAGATTTAGGAGAAGTCGTTCTGCAAGACATCACACCTATACATAGATGCTATAGGTTGATGTATAATATGTAGAAAATTAAATAAAGCTTTAGATAATTTTCCCCCAAAAGTATGTTCTCTCTTCCTTCCCTATCTCTTTCTTTCCCAAGAAGTTCAAGATCCATCTTCCTCCTCTAAGAAATGACACAACAAATTGGTATCATAGCAAGGTGGAGTCAATCTCGAGGTGGACGAAAGTTTCTTGTCCAAGAAAGAGAGGCTAGGCTATGGGATTTAAAGGCACGAGCCGAGGGTGGAAAATTCAGATGTAGAATCGATGATGATTGGGCCAGGTGCGGGCGTAGACGAGTGCGACCGTTGGACTTGTGTCAGGACGTGCTTGATTTGGAGGTGGGGAGCCAAGTCGGGATGCGCGACATGCAAGGCCTAGTGCAGCGCGGATCGAAGCTACAAACGCGGCATGATAATAGATAAGGATCGAAATGTAACATGATAATACATAAGGATAATATATATAAACTACATAGATACATACAACCTTTCAAAAAGACAATTATTTTTCAAAATCTCACAAAATAGAATATATTCTAGAATTAATTGAAATATCAATTTGATAAAGCAAAATAAATTGATTCGTCAACATTAGAAGATAAAAAAAAGATAAAAAATGCTAGTAAAGTAAACTAAGAATATAGTTTCAAGAAAAGGAAACTTGCGATTAACTTACGCTTTTATCTGAAATTTTTTTTTGTTTTTTTATAGATGCCATAACAAAGGTCAATAACTCCTCGATGCTATGTTACAACTTTAAAAAAACTTTGTAATGCTTTTGTCGAGATAATTGATAATGAATTTGAGCAGACATTAAAGAATTTGAACATTCATCATTTTTTGAAGTTTCCAGCTTTACAACAGTGTATACCATTTCTTTTTGAGGTTTTGAAATTTTAGAGTCCTGCTGATGAAGGCTTTATTGTCCATGATCATTTACTAAAATTCACCTCTAACGAGGTTGCATTGTTGATAGGTAATATTTTGAATAAGAAATTATGGATATGGATATATTTTTTTACTTTAAATATAACATGTACAAAATTTTTTGACAGGTATGCCTAACAGAGGCGATGATATCAAATGGATGATTGATCCTCTAATTGGACATCTAATAACTAAAATAAAAATAAAATGACAAAATTAGACAGATTGAGTGATAATGCTACTAAATTAAAGACCTTTATAATGTTTTTGTTATCAAATCTTTTCTTTCCACTAAACAACCATAAAACTCCTAGAAGGCTCACATATGTTGCAAGTAATGTAAGTGAGTTCACTTCTATTAATTGTGCTTTATGTATAAAGAACTTCATGGTCGATGAATTCAACATAATTACTGACAAGTTTCAAATACAAAGACCATTGGGTTACATCAATAGTTTTTTTCCTCTCCTACTAGTAAGTTTTCAGTCCTACTGGTTATTTTTCTCTCATAAAGCTTTTTAATGTATACTTTTAATGTTTTATGTTTGTTATTATACAGATTTGATTTTTGGAACACTTTTTTTGAATAAACCATTAGATCCAGAATTAAGACCGTGTTTTCTGAGATGGGAGGAGTACACTGAATTATACTTTACACAAGAAAATGCTGCTAAATTATTTAAATTTTTAAAGAAAAATGAGGTAATTTTTAAGTCTAAATGAGTAAATATTTAATATTATAAATGTTTTATTTAAAGAGTTGCGCTTTCATTGTGCTATGGTTGCACTATAGCCTAAATAAAGCGCAACCATAGCACAAGTAAAGAGCAAGTAAAGCGCAACAATAGCGCAAGTGAAGCGCAACTATAGTGCAACAATCATGTAATTAATATATTTATATTTTTTGCAGATTTACCTTGCTCTTCAGAATGTTACTAATGAATAAGCAGAAAAATACGAGGCTGACATTAATATTATACAAAACCTGTAAACCCGTTATGAGCATCAACCCCATATAATTCAATCACCCCTAATCCTAAGGAAAAAAATTCACACCACCCCACCTCTCTCTCCTCATCAAGAACTACCTGAAAGTTCACCTCCACCGCCTACTCAACCTTCTACGCATCCTTCTACTGAACAACCCCGTAGTGTAAAAACTGAAGATATAGGGCTTGTTCAGAAAAAACTTTTTGAATTCTTTCAGAACATGTTCAATAAAATTGAACAAAATTTGGGTACTAGAGTTGATCGACTTGAAGATGTTATGGAGAAAGTTCAAGCAGATGTAGATTCCCTAAAGTACAAATTCATTGACTTTCAAATGAATTGTGATCATAATATTGAAAACCCGTCTATATCTACATCTTACTCCAGCATCCAATCAGTTAAAAAACCCAGAACTATAGTTGTTCAACCTCCACCACCACCAAAAGAAGATGTTCTTCCACCACCACCCAAAAAAGATGTTCTTCCACCACCATCCAAAGAAGATGTTCCTCCACCTCCACACAAAACAGATGTTTCTTCTCATTTACCACCAGCCACAACAGATGTGCCTCTACAACTTACAAATACAGATGTTCTTCAAAGCTCCTCATTCAATACCAACCACTAAAAAGAAAAACATAAGACAATAAAGAAATTGAAATACCAGATGTATTAATGAAGAACAAAGATGTTATTTCGGTTGATAATATAATAATTGAGCCTCGACCTGCACTGCAATATATGGATTATCTAGGGAAGGCTTTCCTTACAGAGCAGCAGCAAAATTTCTTGAATGAATGTTTCAAAAAATTTGATAAAACGTAAGTTAAGTTGCGCTTTACTTATAATTTTTTCCTTTTCTATAGGGATGACGTCATATTTACATCTGATAACATAGAAATAAAAAGAAGAGATATTGACGATCTGCTCACAGATCAATGGTTAGCTGATAATCATGTAGATGCTTTTGCTTATTTTTTATTAGAGAAGAGTAGGGTAATGACAGACAAATTTCAACGTTACTTGTACATTTCTCTATTGTACAGGGTAAGAATAATTATTATTTATATCATATTTTTCACTTTACTTTTCTTATGTTGCTGAATTATTACAGGTATACAAGTTTTACAAGCAAGATTATCAAATATTTCTCTAACACATTAATCTAGTTTCTGTTAAAGAATGCAGTCTTATTGTTCAACCTATAATTTTTTGTAAGCATTGGGTTCTTATTATAGGCAGGTTGAAAGAGAAAGTCTGAAAAATGTATGATTCCTTATCAAATCCAGAACACAAGGATATATGTCATACAGTTGTAAGTTAAAACCATATTTTAAGTTAAATCCAAGCAAATATGCTTCTATACCTAATGTACTTATAAAAGTTTTATTTGTTCAGATAAAATATTTGTAAGAGGACACCCAATGATGCTTTTCAAGCGATATAATAAAATGGAACTTAACAAATGGTTCGTGGACTTCCAACTCAATCAAACGATTTTGATTGTGGAATGTTCGTTTGTAAATACATGGAGAAAACCGTGCAATGAAAGAAAGTAGACTGGACTGCTTATAAAGATTGATAAAATTTAGGACAGAGTTGGCATATTTTCTTTATCTGACAACGAAGAAGTAAATTTACTGTAACATATTATAAATTTTGTCCATGAATTTTAAATGTACATTTTAATATGTTAATATATAGTTTTTGATTGTTGTGTAACTTGTGTAAATTTGATGGTATAACTTGTTTACATTTAAAAATTGTAAGAGTTATAAATTTACAATAATATTTGTATGTACCAAAGCGCAACCAAAGTGCAATTAAAACGCAACCAAAACAAAAGTAAAGCGCAAGTAAAGTGCAACCAAAGCGCATGTAAAGTGCAACCCAAGCGCAACATTAACGCAAGTAAAGCGTAACCAAAGTGCAAGTAAAGCGCAACTATAGCGCAAGAATAACTCAAGTAAAGCACAGATTTTTAAATTTACAAGTAATCAATGCATGATTTATACAATAAATTTTATCAATAAAATACTTTATTTAGATTCCATAATTGTTACAATAAAAAATTATCAA